GAAATGTGTTTTCATCTTCTTCTTCTCTTTTTCGTTAACTAGTGTTGAAATGTTTAGCATAACTCAATAAGATGTAGCATTGGTTTATGTAAGGTGAGAGTAGTTAGTCTTTTAATAATTTTTTCTTGTCCTAGGAGAGCGATGGGAGTTACCGTGGCTGTGTCCGAGTTCACCTGAACCTCAGCCGACCGATCAACATCGTCGCTGGCACAAGGCCGCCATCCATCTACGACATCCTCCAGGAAGACCGAACAATGGAGAAGACTTTGACCTCATTCTACATGCCCAGGGATGCAGTAAAGGCTATTCATATCACAAGGTAAATTACAAAGACAAGCTTGATATCTTTATACAGTCCTTACCACTACAAAATCACATAAAGGCAAAGATTACTTGGATGATTGGGAATAGAATATCGCAATACAATAAGAAGGTCTTTTTGTGATGCTGACTGCAAAACAATTTCTTTTCAAACATATTCTATAATATCTATGTAAGTTTTGTAAAATAGTTTGTGTCCCTAAAAGAGTCAGATTGTTAATTACATGCCTCATTAAGACTTCTAGGCTATATTTTAATTTTGTATTGCACTATATTTCTGTCTGTTGGAAATGGATAGATGCTTTTTGTTAAAAATTGTAGTTTTAAAGATTCTTTCAGTTAATACTAAGGACAGGATAAGATACATGAATATTTGGTACATATCTGGATTTTATGTACATACAGAGGTTACCTTTGTCATCATTGTGCACTACTACATTGTTTGTTTTGTTTTTATTTATCTTCCTCAGTAAAACTACAACAAGAGAAGTGATTGTAGCACTACTGAGAAAGTTCAAAGTTGTTGACAATCCACAAAAGTTTGCCCTGTACGAGAGGAATATTGACTCAACACAGTCAGGAAAAGGTAAGAACAGTAAGCTCACGGGAAAATCTTTAATTTTTCCCAACACCTGTGCATGGCTGAGTAAGATTTAAAGTTGTTAAAGGCAGTAAAAGAGAAAGATGTAAAATATTGCATTATGACAAATTCTTGAAAGCCATTAAACTGCAGAGGATGGAAGTGCAAGGCTCTAAAAACAGTTATTGATCATACGATATTGCATGAATAAAGCATGAAAAAGGCCCTGAAGAATAATATCATGACAAGTAAAAGAATAGAAAAGAAATAAAAAGAGAAGGAAAAAATTATTTCATATGCATGTTCTAAACACAGCAAGGCTTCGGAGGCTGGGGGATGGTGAGTGCCCGCTAGTCCTGGCACTTAACTGGAGTGCCGGAGGGCTGACCAACAAGCGCCTAGTCTTGCAGGAGAATGACACTGCAGACATACAGGTAAGATGCAACAGCTAGCATATTTCCAGATGTTTATGGAAAATAAAGGAAGACAAGAGAAGAAAAAGATCACACACACTCACACTCACTCTCACACTCACTCCCACATACACACACTCACACTCACACTCACACTCACTAAAACGCACATATAAAATATAATGAAAACCTACACACCCAAGGTTTTCCCAGAATACTGAACAACTTTGGCTGTCTGACCTTTGCCATTAACTGCTGCAAACGCATTGCTCTGCCATCTTCAAAGAGGATTCTCTGACATCCTAGAAACACAATTAATCATAAAACAGCGGTTTTATGATACGTGCTTCACTATGTTATATGTGAATTTCCAGTTGTACTTAATATGTTAATAATAATTCCAAGACCACAATAGCTTTTAGGGAAATTTGAGCATGACCAGCAATTCTACACAAAAGATTCATCTCCCTATTTTCAAGTGTTTTTGGAACTTTAAATTTCCTGTAATCGTATATACATGTATAAATAAAGATAAAAATATAACTATAACTATAAATATTAATATATGTGTGTGTGTGTGTTTGCGTGTGTGCGTGTGTGTGTATGTGTGTATGTGTGTATGTGTGTATGTATGTATGTATGTATGTATGTATGTATGTATACATATATATATATATATATATATATATATATATATATATATATATATATATATATATATATATATATATATATATATATTTATAAAATATATATACATTTAATATATGTATGTAAACATATAAATTTACTTTCACTTTTTAGGTATTACATGCGATTGGTGGGAAACCCATATTTTGTGTGAACATAGGTGATGGAAAAAGTAATTTCATTAATTTTCAGTGAGAATTAATCCCTTTTTTCTTTTTTCCAGTGGGAAGCTTTCAGCCTGCCAGAACTTAGTAATTTTCTGAGAATCCTGGATCGAGAAGAGGAGGAATACCGATGTCAAATTCAAGACAAATATGCTCTGTTGCGTCGAAGAATTCACAATATCCTGATTCAGCAAGAAGCAGAGTAATGTGATGAAGATTCTACCTCTATTTATAAACAAATAATTTATGAGTATGATTCAGCCATGTAATTTTTTTTTCTTTTCTTTTCTTTTTACGTATTGTTTATGTTGAAATATATATATATATATATATATATATATATATATATATATATATATATATATATATATATATATATATATATATATATATATATATAAAATGTATATATTAATATATACACATACACATTTATATGCAAAATAAACATATAATATATGTATAAATACACACAAAACATACATACCAATGTATCTGTCTATCTGTCTGTATACCTGTTTCTGTCTATACCTATCTATCTATACTTGTACATGCATACTACACATACTTATGCTAACTTAGATTCATACATTTATATGCACACGCACACACTTGCACTCACACTCACTCACTCATAAATATGCAGTGTGTATATATTTATATATATGTATTCATATTTACATAATGGATTTTTTTTTTCTTTTTTCTTTTTTTCTTTTTTTTCCCCTCTTTATTTTTTATGCCCTTCCTCATTTAGACTTTAATCATGTGTGAAGGAACCAGAAGAATTGTGATCTATAGGAAACGTTTTTCATTGCAGTCGTACATTTGAATTACAGTATACTTGAGCCTGTGAATGTAGGTGAGCAGTGTAATCCACCCTAGCCAAGACCCCAAGTATAGACTAGATATATACCAGGAGGAACCTTTTATGATGATTATATACTGGTAGAAGTGTCAAGGTAATGCTGATATAACAGTGCATTATAGAGTAATTGGGTATGTTATATTGTTAACATATTGTAGTGTCTACCATTGTAATGATTCTCCTAATGGTTTTAATAGGAAATTAACAATACAATACTATGCATTAGGTTTTGTCAAACTGATCTGATCTAAGTCATGCCTCTAAGTCACTCATAATGTGCTAAATATGTAAACTTTACATAAGGTCACAGCCATTTTACGAGAAAGATAGTTTGTTTAGCATATTTTTATAAAGAAGTATATATAGATATATATATATGATATAGCATAATAGCAAATTGTATAGCACTAAAACTAAAACACTGCAGAAATGTTACAAAATCCATCAAAACTAGTCACTAATGCAGATCAGACTGCAGCAATTTTGTCAAACACAAAAGACACACACTGTATAAAAAAAAGTCTTATGATAATTTATAAACACATATAGATACAGATGCCATGATCATGTTTTTCTTTTGGTTATTGGTGTAGTTTTTATTACAATTATTATTGTAATTATCTTCATCTTTATTATTACCAGTGTTATTAATAACTCTATTAATCCTATCATTACCTTTATTATTTTTGTTTTGACTATCATCATAATTTTTTATATTTTGTCATTATCATGATGATGATTATGATGATTATAAATAAGTGAGAGTGAGAGTGAGTATGAGTGTGAGAGTGAGAGTAAGTGAGTGTGAATGTGAGTGTGTGTGCGTGCGTGTGCGTGTGTGTGTGAGTGTGTGTATGCATGCACATGTGTATGTTGTATTTTTGTTATAAAAATTGTTACAGTCGTTACCATTCTGTTATTATTATTATTATTATTATTCTTTCTACTGCTGTTTCTTCTGCTACTACTACCACAACCATTGTCATCATGATCATCATCACCATTATCTGATAAATATCTACTAATTCTGATATTATCATTAATTTAAGTTTTACTATTAAGAAGGCTTCCTGAATTTTGAATAATCCTGTATTTTTCTTTTGACCCTTTTTTAAGTAATAATAACTGGTGTTATGAAAAGACACCACAATTCTATGTAATATGCATTTTTGTAAATAAAATATCCATTTTGATTACTGAAATTAGTTATCTCCATTTATGGTAAAAAAAATCCAGTTTTTCATAGCCAGATGTAAAAGTGATTACAAATCAAAAACATTTAAGATCTGAGAGAATATAATTTGTGTGTGTATATATGTATGTGTACATATTCACATACATACACACACACACACACACACACACACACACACACACACACACACACACACACACACACACACACACACACACACACACACACACACACACACACACACACACACTAGATATTATTATTACGATTATTTATTTATATTTTTATTTATTTAATATTATTATTATTACTATCATTATCATTTCCATTTTCATAATGATTATCATTAGGCCTATCATTATGATGGTTATAATGACAATAATGATAAAGTAACTCCTCTTGAATCTAATTTCCTACGGATTTTATTAACCCGTTGCCACTGGGAAGATGTATAGTTCATTGTAGTCTTTTTTTGTGAAATGTCACTAAATATAGACGACTCCACAAGTGCTTATCCACCAAGGAGTCAAGTAGCAGACCTTGTGACCTCACCTGGTTTCACCTTAATGAGATATTAGATAAAAGTAAACAGGTGAGATAGGTTGTACAAGTATTTAACTTTTCGATGACCATGCACTTGTGGAGCCATCTATGCGTAAATTCATAAACTAAACTCATTGTACTTTAATGCTAACCCCAGAGGCATCAGGTTTATATATAAATTTTTTTTTCTTTATGTTTTACTTAATTATATATGAGAAAAAAAAATGATGTGAAATTTTAATTCTATTCCTTTTTATAACTGACACTAGATTTTTATTTATTTATTTTTTTTTTTTTTTTTTTTTTTTTTTTTTTTTTTTTTTTTTGTATACAAATTGATATTGAAGCTTGAAAATGCACATTCCAGCTTTAAATGTGATGCACATAGGTAAAATCATCACACTTCATAAAGTTTGGAATATCACAATAAACATAATTTTGTAAACACATCTTGATAAAAGTATTAAATACATTTATAAATTATAAAATACTGTCTCTTACAGTACTCTCTACTGTAGCTTTGGTGATTATCAAAATTACAGAAATACTGTAATAATTATTGAAGGAGCTTCTTACATATCCTGATTCTAAAATTTAAGAATGTGTACTCTCTAAAAAGAAGATAATAGTTACAAAGGAGCTGTGACATATCCTGAATCTAAAAGGTAAGATTATGTACTTGTAAAAGAATCAAATTTCAACAGTAAGTTTCCTAATGCTCTGAACCCTTTGATGCTGGGAGTGTTTGTGTACATGCACTGTCCATTGTGGTTTTCTTTAAAATGTATATTCTTATTATTACTGTTACTGACATTATAATATTATTGGTAAAAATAATATTACCAACAAGAATGTTGATAATGTACATGTCATGGACACTGAGAGTTTATCTTATTGTCTTTATATAGATGGCTCCATAAGTGCCTAGTCGCCAAAGAGTCAATCACTTCTCCCTTCTGTGTAAAATTCTCTATGATACTCGGAAATGTTCTTTCATGTTTCATATTGCCATAACTACTGTTAATAACATTATGATAATCATAATGTCAGCAATGATAATAATAACAGCATTGATATTAATATCATATTTTAAAAATCCCTCAAAACTCGAGGAAAGTGGAAAGCATGTAGCCTACCCCTTGCCTGGTGGAACCACGTGTGCAATCACTTTCCACAAAACAAACCTACAGTGAACATTACACATTCCTGGCAGCAGTGGGTTAAATCTCTATCTCCCTCTCTATCTATCTACATCTCTCTTTATTGCTCTCTATCTGTGTGTGTGTGTGTGTGTGTGTGTGTGTGTGTGTGTGTGTGTGTGTGTGTGTGTGTGTGTGTGTGTGTGTGTGTGTGTGTGTGTGGGGGTGGGGGTGGGGGTGGGTGGGGGTGGGTGGGGGTGGGTGTGTGTGTGTGTGTGTGGGTGTGGGTGTGGGTGTGGGTGGGTGTGGGTGTGGGTGCGTGTGCGTGTGCGTGTGCATGCGCGTGCGTGCATGTGTGAGAGAGAGTGGAGGTGCATGCATGTGTGTGTGTGCTACCTCTATTTGACTGTACATAAATATTAAGCTCTCTTTATTATTCTTTATACATTAAGAAATATGATAATAACTAATTATGTTTATGAATATTGAAGGACCTCTACAGGTATTTAGTGAAATACTTATGAAGTATGCAGCTTTTTATTTATTCCCACTCAAAATCATCTAACAAAAGTCAATAAATAACCTTAGCAATGATGCAGCAGATAATCTCTTATTAATCTGTCTGTCACTTGCCAGAGTATTTGTTAAATACACAATAAATCAATCTTTATAAAAACAAATAATTCCTTGCATAGTCAAATGCCTTTAAAAGATTAGAAAAATAATATGAACAATAAAAGTTCTGATATAAGGAACAGTCTACTGAGGTTTTGTCTTTCATTGAATTTTATATAATGCTGCTACTAGACCTCTCATACATGCTGTTATTTGAGAATAATATGACGACTGGAATCCTAAAATGAACAATGAAATGACGTCTTATAATCCAAAAAATGAAAAATAAAAAACAAGTTTCTTCGTGTGATAGCTTCCTTAGCTACCTAGTCATAATCATGATAGGCATTGCATTTTAATATGCTTCAGAGCCAATTTCAAATATATGTATATTTTGCTCAAGTATATTGTAGTAATTATGTATGAGTTCAATAAATAAAATGATTTTATCTATACAAGTCTTTTGCAATTCTGAGAAACAGTGTTTGGGAAATAAAAGGAGAAAGATTTATTCATATTCAATTTATGTACACTACAAAAGATCATAAAAGCATACTCAGCAATAATATAAAACCAGCAAACAGTTTTCTGTTCAGGAATATGCTTTACAAAATTTATAGTTCAACATATATTAATAAAAATCACATCTCCACATTGCTTTCAAGAATCTAAGAAAAGATACTGTACAATTTTTACAAGACAAGATACAACCATAAACATTAGCTTGCCCATATTCACATCATTACTGTTGTGCATCCAAATTTTCACCTTGGAACTTCAAACACTGTTGTGGAATATACCGAGGTAATACGTTCCGCTCTACCTTACCTTCCGGCCAGATCTGTTTCGTTCCCTTAGTCTCTTGATGAACGTGAGACTGCTTTTATTTTTCACACCAAGTTCTAGTAATTTCTTGCGGTCATCTGCCAGTTTCTCTCCTTCGTAGCACAGCCAGTATGCTTTCCAAATGTA